GTGGTGGAGTATAACTCCATTATGGATAAAATTTTTATTATGATAAATCACACAGTGTTATACAGTTATATTAACTGATGACCATGTTTCGAGCACAAACTATTGCTCATAATCATATCAAGTCACTCACACAACTTTTTACTTCATTTATATACATCAGTAAATATTGATTAGACATCTGAATAAAAACAATGTGAGATAAAGTTTATTCAGAAATAATATTAGTGCTATCAATAAAATACAATCAGATGAGAAATAAGACAAGCGTTTTATAGTCATAATAAGTAACTTGTTGGAATGTTATGATGTACGTGAATTGAAATAAAATTTTAAGATTATTTATTATCCTCCTCTGATTTGACTGGTAATAAAATCTTCCTTATTTCTGGTATTAGCATTGAGTCATTTCTGTTGCATGTGTTGTATTGGGTGTAGATTCACTCGATGAACCAGGATTCAGTAATCAGCCCCTCTTTTCCTCCACCAGCCTATATGGCTTCTTAGAATTTTGACTCCTTCCCACCCATACAATTGTGTGATTATGTGTTATTGTAAGTAGTGAAGTCGCTGAGCTTTTTTCTAAATTACTCATCTTCTCGGGGTCAACTATTCTTACCTTAGCTAGATTCTTATGTTCCGACAATCTGATTGCCCCCCGATCTACTAATTTGACAAATATAGTTCACCTAACTCACAGCCATTGTAAGGTATTTTGTAAATTATATTATTTTGTTTAATTGGATCCACCGGGTCTTTTAGCCTACAGAGCTTGTCTCTGAGTGACTTTGTAGGTTTGAATGCTACCCTAATTCCTGCTTTACTTAGAATCCTACGTAGGGAGGGTCTCAGACGTCCCTTCCTTATATGGTATAACAGTGGATGACTTATATTCTTTCTTATTTGCGTTATCATTACTAGTTTCACAATTATTTTTGTTTTGCTTTTGACCTTTTCTGATCCTCCTAATGAATTTTTAAAGGAACAGCTGTTTAACACCAACGCCTCTTCTATCTGTCTTATTTCATCATTTAAGTCTTTTCTTTGCTACTTTGTGCTATCGCTCGGTTTGTTAGACACTTAACTAAGCCTGCCTCTATAGACAGCGGGTGAGATGAATTAAAGTCTAAATATCTATTAGAATGCGTTGGCTTTTTATAAACGCTAGTGTGCAGTTTACCTTTTTCTATTCTTTTTATCTTACAATCTAACATAGCTAATTCTCCTTGTTCATTTTGTGATTCAAATGTGAATATTATTGCCTTAACTAGTGAGTTTATATGCGTCAAGAAGCTAGAGATGTGTTCTGTTTTTAACACTGAGTGAAAGTGTCATCCACATAACTCCACCATATTTTTGGATTACCACTTGAATAATTTCTGTGTAGTTTAAACACAACTGTACAGACTGAAAATGAAATTGTTGAGAAGAAATATTTCTTCTCTGAACAAAAACTTTGTTTCTGCTTAACAACCAGTTGGTTGTAATAAGTAGTTCAAATCATAAAAACTATTGTGCTATCTGTCTACAGCATCATATCTCAGTACTTACCTCGTCTGGAGCTTGCGGGAAGTAATCTTCAGGTGTGCCGTAATTTAGAATACTTATTGAATATGTGAAATCGGATTTCGATAGGATGTGTTTTACACCTTAGAAATTTTTTCTCACTGAAGGTGGAACTGTGGTCACTTTTGAATGATTCACAACACTTCTTCACAGATGAGCATGTAACAAAGCCTGTATTATTTTCTCATTATTCTACAATACAAAAGTGAAGAAAAATTGTGTCACAATGATTGTAGGTTACATCAGATACATTTATGCGGGGCTGCATACCGTCATAGTATTTGGTTCTACTTTTCTAGTTGTACTATTCTAATTCTATTGGAACCTATTGAATGGATTTCATTTGAACTTCACTCTGACCATTAAAATATTCTCCAGCAGAGAGTTAATCTAGTCTAACGCTAAGGATAAGATACGACCGCTTTGGTCACCTCTATGTGTATCAATCAGTTTACTTCTCGTACACAACGTCAAGTCAACAAACGTATTTGGAACATTGTCTAGCTTGGCTAGCCAGCCAGAAGAGAAAAGAAGAATACTAGCATCTGCATCCTCGAACACCTTGTCAGCTGTGGACATCGAGCACCTCTGCATGAATGCTTCACGGTGCTATGCAGAGTCCTTCAATATCGTGCAAAGGGACTTCGCATACGTCATCTTTACATAGCTGAAGCATCAGATCTTCGAGATCTGAAACGGAACCTCTGCATTTAAAAACGATACATACATTCTCTCGCCCTACCATGGCCAGAGTAAAGTTCTTACAACAATGTTGCTTATTTCCTTTATTATGTAAGTTCACTTTTATTATTATTATTATTAATACTTTTATTATCATTATTATTCCCATCATCGACACTTTATTACCACTCTATTACTGATAATTAATAACATTGCTTTTTCATACAGATTTTATACAAAAACACTTTATAGCCTTTCCACTAGTTCTTGTCCATTCTCCACGAACTGACTGATTAGTCATTCTCTCAAACTTATTACGTCATGCCAATTTCTGCCTCTTTTCTAACTTACAATTAGTCATCCCTTCTTACACCTTTCATTGCGCAATATATTTTTCGATGACAATGTTTACCAGTATCTAATTGGTCTAAAGATTTCTTTGTTTACTATAATTACGATTGTACAGCTCATGAAAATGAATCGTCGAAAAGGGAAAATTTTCTTTGCTGTTTACGCCTTTTTCTTATGACTCAATATGGTGGGAATGTTTCGTTCAATCAAGATATTTGTAAATGTTTTCATAAGCGTTACCAGAATTACCCCCTTAAAGTAGTAGTTGATTTGTAAATTCATTCTAACGATTTTTCAGATTCGTCAACAATCCCAGAATGTAGTGGTCTTAAACGGTGATGTGTACACAGAAACAAGTCCTAAATGAATTCTGAGATCTCATTAATGTAATAATACAACTCGGTCACAATTACAGAAAGCATATTTATACTACTCTGATTCACAAATCACATAATAGAACAATAGTATCAGATGAATGAAATGACTGTTAGTCACTTGTAAGTATCCAGGATTCTTCAATATTTTCGTTTATAAAGAAAGATTTCATCTGAATCTCACAGTCATCGACCATTGTGAATTGGGAAAATGTCTACCTCATATGGACTGTAATTTCACAGTCACCTAGGATAGTCCCTGTAACAATGTACAGATTTCCAAACCATATATGTTAATACCTACCAGTACTGGTAATATAAATTGCCTTAACCGTCGTTCAGACAGCGTTGACAGCGAAGTAATTTGGAAACTACTCGAGTACAACGGTGTACAGTGCCTCCAATATCCATCAACCTTATTCAACAGCTGTATGACAACGGAACATGTCAAGTCATGCACAACGGAAAACTCAGCAAAGCGTTTGGAGTAAACACAGGAGTCAGAAAAGGGTGCTTATTATCACCAATGATATTCCTAATTGTGGTGGACTGGATTATGAATCAGACAGTGGGAGACAAAAAGACAGGGATATCCTGGCCCGACCGATGTGAAGAACCTAGAGGACCTGGATTTCGCGCGTGGATGATTTATGTTTGATGTCACACACAATCGAAGACTTATTAGTGAAAACCGACAAACTGGTCGGAGAAGCAGACAGTGAAGACAGGACTCCAGGTGAACATAGATAAGACGGAAGTTATGAAAGTAACCGACCAACCAACCAACAACAACTACAGCAACATCCAGCGCCAATCACCATCAACGGAAGGGATTTGAAAGAGGTTACTTCATTCATGCATTTATCTAGGGAGCATTGTCTCAACCACAGGAGGAACGGACGAGGATGTTAAATCGAGCGAGAATCGGGAAGGCGAGAAACACATTCATCAAACTGACTGAAACCAATCTGGAAATCTTCGTCACTCAGCCAGCATCAACAACAAAATTCAGTCGGATTTTCAATACAAACGTCAAGTCAGCCAGTTCTTCCATACGGATCAGAAGCTTGGCAGGCGGGTCACAAAGAATATTTCCAACAGCCTGTTGCAGACCTTTATCAACCAACAACTGTCTTCGCTGGCTCTATACGAAGATCAGATGGCCAGGCCGGAAAGAATCACCAACAAAGAACTATGGCTGGGAACAAACAAAACAAGAACCAATCGCCAACAAACAAATATGCAGAAGGAAGTGCAGATGGATTGGAAACTCGCTGAGGAGGCCGCTGGGTGACACCGTGCACGCATCAGGCCACTGCTCGACTGGAACCAGGCCAAAAGGGAAGCGGCGAGTGGGACGTCAGTGCAAGAGTGACATGGAGGAGATGGTGTGAAGAGGAGATGAAACAGAATGGAGTAAGATGGATGCAGGTGAAAAGCACAGCAGAAGACAGAAGCAAGTGGAGACATGCAGTTGAAGCCCTATGTTCCACTAGGAACCCAGGGGAACAATAATAATAACCGTCGTTCAGACGAGAAGCAGATATACTGAGGGAAAAATAACAAAGATAATAGAACAGTTTTTATTTTATTTGAAAGATAAATTATTATTTTAATTATTATCTACAGTTTTAAGTATACACAGAGTTTACATTCGCTTTTGTATGTTCTTCATAAGTTGTTTCTTTTAACAGTAACCGGAGTTCAGTGTAATCATTTGATGGACGGTTCTTATTTATCCAGAATACCATGTTTCTTTGTTATCCTCAATTGATTATCTCTCCAGATAGTCTGTAGTGTCTGCAAACAATGCAGGACTTCAGTTTTTCTCAGGCTAGCAGAACGAATGTTATCCACAAGGAGACTTCGCATTGAAATTCAAATCCCATAATGAAGGAAGTTTTATTTCTCTATCCCTGATCGGGTTTCTTTTGATACTGATATTGATAAGAGTGGAAATCTGTTTGTTCTCTGAAGGCATATTTGAACAATAAAAATCTATGAAATTCATTCAGTTGTAACGTCATAAATTTAGCTTTTTCTCCAATAGAGGAAATAGGCTAAGATTAGCACAGGTGTAGCATAGTAAAAGAAACGCCTTTTTTCACTCTTAGGATTAAATTTCATCTGTAAAGATAGAAAGAAAAATGATCAATGGTTAACTTGATATTTTAAATGATATACTAGAAAAAAAATACAATTATTTATAAATAAGTTATTCATGAAAAAGGGGAAAACATAATAAGTAAATATGGATGTTCCTTCTTACTGGAATTATCTGATTTCTCTTAGGAGGAACTAACGGTGCACCCTACTGTCAGTCATTAGAAGTTATGCTTTTGAGGGGAACACTTTAAGCACGTGTAAATTTTTATAAGTGCGCATACATTTTTAGTAAAACAAAAGTTTACAGTGTTTGAAAGAGCTAAAATGATGAAAGCACTTATTTTGAACAAAAATCGTATACTTTGTTTTTTACTGTATTAGACTGGAGTATTGACTGAATGAGGCGTTTGAAGAATACCTTTAGATGTGATTGTTTGCAGATTCGGTTCTGTAAACGATGTCAGCTCATGATAAAATCTTGTAACCAATCAATCAAATCCCTTCAAACCAATACTTGAAAATTAATCTGATGCTCACTAGCAACCGTCCCTATTCAGGTAGTTACCTAAGGTTCTTCGGGAAGTCATGACCAGAAGGGTCAAAGGTGAGGACAGTCACTCATCGAAGAAGACATTGCCATATCGTGAATTGGTATAAGTTAGAATTTATGGGCTAGCCATTTGACCGGGTCCCAGTGGCTTAAGGTTTACGAGCTAGCTCGCCTTGTGAACAGAAGCTCCTGGCTTCGACCCCTGGCGATGGGTGTGTACTGTGAAGAGTCCCAAACTAGTTTGACGAAATGGCTGTCCATTACTCCTAGATTTTCTAATGGTTCTGTAACCAATCAATGTCAGCTTATCATGAAATCCTGTAACCATTTAATCGAATCCTTACAAACAAATACTCGAATTTCCGTTTTAGTTGTTTTACCCCATAACAATGCAAGTGATTTTTCGTTAGTTAGTGTACATCTGAATCTGAACGATTGTTAATTCACACGGTGTTCTTTTACAAACTTTTAATCATTCAAAAGCGAATGACAGTAACAGTGAACAAATAAAGTCTACCGAAGGTGAAGGTCAAACATGACACATAATCAATTTCACAGGTACCATCTGATTATTATTATTATTGGTATGTTTAAACACTACTGATTCAGAGATAACGCTTTCAAACATGAAGGTTAAAAAGTTGTGAAATCTTAACTAAATAGTCCCAAACCTATTTGTTAGTTTAGTTAACTCCTTAAATTATGAAATCTTTACATAATTTGACTGGTTATTAACTGCAATATTGATTTCCAGCATAGCAACAGAAAAAGCCAGACAATCAAATGATTGAAAGGACACATACTATTCATGAATTTTAAGTCGATTTCAGTACTTTATTATGAAAGAAGAAATGAACAACAAAAACAACGAAAAGGAAACTCTTCCAAAAGCATGTTCATCATGAGTGGTGGTTATTTGTTACCCAACCTGTCTAACTAACTGACTGTAAAAATGAAAAAGTGTGACATTTCGATTCCCTAATGGTAGGTAGTATTATGCTGAAATGACGGTTCACATGTTGTCGAAGGGTGAATTATATATATAATTAATCCTATGATTGACAGACTGAATGTCTAGTTGACTTTCGGCATAGTAAAGGTGTATAATTAGTTGTGCCTGCCTTCTGAATGCGACATGTACTCAAATATTCTTTCAAATTTTAGAATGAGATGAGTAGACTAAATTATTTTACAATCAATGATTGTTTGTTTCTATAGCTTAATGATTCATTATTCTCACTTAAATGAATCATCTACAAAGCTAAAGAACACTGAGAAACTTAAACAACATTTTTCTAGTGATAAGATTTTCTTTTCATTTTGATTTTATTGGTGGAATTGTCCACATTAGAATGACAAACAAAAAAAGAAGAGAATGATATTACCTTCTCAGCAGACAGTCAGACATTGTTCTATTTTATGCGACTAAGAGTTCATCTTTATACTTACAGTCAAGTGTGCGTTCCTTGTTGAACAATTTCTGTCAATCAGAAATTCATATTCACTGAATACAGCATAACCGTCTTCAAACTAGATCTGTGACTCATTGGCTTAGAAAACAAACTGTTAGGCACAAAATGCGTCCCAACCTACTAACGATCCTACACTATATATCTTATCAAAATCCTTCATGTGACAAGTGTGATTCCTAATTCAGGGAACTGTTTATTATAATTACTATATAGCCTTTAATGTCAACTTAGTGAAGAGTCAGACTTCGTCTCACACACACACACATACACACGCACACATTACAAGTTTTCTTTGTTGCGCTATACATTGGGCGGTATAACAATCTCCAGTTATCCAAGTCAAAGTCGAAATAAACAGTGTTCTTTGAACAGGCCTTTCTGCAGCTGGAACTAAAATCCATACACTAGTGAGAAATATCACTATAATTTTAAGGAACAGAATCTAGAAAGTCATAAAGACAGTTTAATACAGTCAGCTGTATAGTGAACAAGCTACAATAGACAAAGTCATTGTGATGTTACTTAATTCAAAACTATTCTATTTGAAACCAATAACTGTTATCCGGACATCGGAATATTTATGCAGCTCGGATTGTCTCATTTACTTTAGACAAGTTTCGTAATAATAATAATAATAATAATTAGTATTATTAGTTGAAAGATTTCAGTGACTTTGAATCAGAATGAGTAAAGCTGTGGTACCATTCAATTAAAACGTTGAAAAATATGAACGACACTAGTCCGAGGAAGTGACGCATAAAACTCTGATATATCTCTGTGATACTATGTTATTTATTGATTAGCTCTACGATCATAATTTGGTTTGAGAACAAAAAAAGTACAGCTTCAGTTTGTGATGACTGACTGACTGTATTCAACATGGAACTTTGCACCAATGTGCAGCTGTTCAAGTCACCACACTCCATGTAGCAAACAAAGCAAGAGAAGAAATGCTTAATAGAGACAGTAAACAGGGATGTGAGACAAAAGGAATAGTAGTAACGAAGAACAATATAGTTTCTTTGGGTATATTATAAGTTACAAGGAGTGGATGCATCTGCGGTAGCCACTGAGAACGATTTTGAGCCATATCATCGATTGTCTCCAGCCATTGGTTTTTAACGTCCCGAGGACCCCAACAAGTCAGTCTATACTTCCTTACTTGGTGAATACCAGTTGTCAAAGGCCTCGTGGATTGATTCCAGATTTTGGGCTGGTCCCCTTTTAACTATTTACCAACTCAATCCTATGTCAGCTAACATAACACCTGGTCGAAGAAGGAGGTGGCTCGGCAAGCTTAGCACGTGTGACTTTACAACCTTACCGACTGACTTCCATCTTTTATCCAGTACTCTGGACCTAACTTCAGCACCACTCACAACATTATACCATTTAATAGGGGAGACAGAATCTCATTTAACAAAGCAGTATAAAAGGTTCACATTTAAGAATAAACTGTAATACAACACAACACATGTGGGTAAACTTTCAATAGATTAATGTCTAGCAAATTTATCAGTAGATTTATAACCTGTATAGGTTACTCCAACTTACTTTGGAATCTGCACAATTCCGACTGGGGTTGTGTTTTGTAACATTTTTCACAATGTAAAACTGTTCTGAATATGATATACTGTCGAAGTGATAAGGAAATTTATTATTGATTTCATCGCCAATTTCAGCGAGTTCTTTTGCTAGGGCATTTACGAGACTAAAATTGCGTTCATATTTGGACGATGTTGAACTTGTGCTAGTCTTGTGTTCCATTTACTGTAAAACAAGAAGAAACAAAAATAAGAAAAGTGTGTATCTAACAAGTATACAGGTACAAACCATTAACAAGTAAAATACTTCAAGAAAAGGAAAAGTACCATTGAGGTACTCTTTGAGGACAAATACTGTCCTTAGGTTGACAATATGTTTTTCAAGTATTGGTTTTTGTGGGTATTTTGTTTAACTGGTTGGAAGATTTCGTCATGAGCTGACATCGGTTAGAAAACCATTGGAAAACCTGCAGGGAGTAATGGACAGCTGTTTCATCCTAGTTTGGGACTCTGGGTAAGTACTGATGAAGAGTCTCGAAATAGGACGAAACAGCTGTCCAGTACTCTGTGAAGGTTTTCCAGTAGTTCCCTAACTAATACCGGTTCATGATGAAATCCTCCAACCTTCTCCTCCAATCAAACAATATATTTTCTGGTATACAGTAAATGAGAAGAAAACTTGGGAAACAATCATCTCCACTAGCTTTTATCAATTATGTATCTATTGCGCTGAAGAAATTCGTACTTCATGTAGGAATTACTTACTACCTCTACAAAAATGGCTATACATTAATATAGATAATTTATAGACGTTATAGTAACATATTTATCAAAATCTTTAATGAAAGAAGTTAGCAGAAACAATACCTTAGTCTGTGAAGCTGCAGCAGTGGGTAACGTTGAATGAAGTACAATAATAATCCCTTCATCTTGTTAAACTACTTAATAATTCTCCATGATGACTATATTTTTAAATCCATACCAGTTAGATCCGAAAAAAAGAAAACTACCGTCAACCGGAGATTTGTTTAGCTAAATGAACGAATGACCTAAATATTGAGTTTTCCTTCCCTTTATCCTCTTTATTTGTTGATCATAAAAACCGGTCAATGATGAAATCTTTGCGTTAATATGAATGGTTAGTTAGAAAATAAACTTAGACAGTCTGACCTCAGATCATTTCTGACCAATAGTATAACAGCAAACTTATGGATCAAAAGCTAAACAAGGTCAGACTAGTTAAGTATGACAGGGAAGTATTGTGTATTTTACCAATATAGTTGCACTAGATTTTTAGATCCATCGATTAGGAACTGACCTTACAATGGTAGGCTAGAATGAATCAACCCACATACTGCAGCTTAAAAAAAGTTATTCTTATTTAAATAAATAAACATTTTTCCTCCATTTGCTAAACACATGAGAAATAGAGGAAGAAAAGTAAATAATGTATTATTTGATCTATTCATAACACATTCTGCTGTTGGTCGATAGATAAATCAATGTTGCTATGACATCGGCTGAATTTATTACAGATAAATGAAATATAGAAATTAGAGTATTTAACCTTGAGCTTACAGAAATCGATTTGAGCAGTAAAATAATAAAACAACAATAAAAGATAATAAAAAATTGTTGAAACACCTAGGATAATCTATTCCTTTGAACAAGTTACATTGCAATTAGTTGAACACAACGTAATTTCGAGTTAAGGATCTCTAACTCAGAATTTAGGACACAGTTGATACTCTGTGTATCCAATAAAGGATATGTTAAACATAAATTAATGAAACCATTACTGTCGCATTAGATAGGTAATGTAGTATTCTAAATCTTAGAATTTAATTCTTTAATTAAGAAATATGTAGATTTAAAACCGAAACAAGACTTACGTAATTTTGATACAAAACTCCTGTTTAACTGTATTATCAATGTAAACCGTTATGTGTATGAAGCTTTGCTACTTTCAGACTAAGCTTTTAAGTTACTTGATGTCTGCTTTTATTTTGACGCTTTATTAACATATCAGACATGAGTAGAGACGAATTAGTTTCAGGTTGGTAGAAGAATGTATGAGGGTGGGGGGAGAGGTTAACAAGAAATATTATAATTTAACTCATTCTATGTGACAGTAACAATTGCTTGTTTTGTCTAAAATAAGCCATGTGGGTAAGAAAGGCATTTCTACAAAATGATATACCCTACCGCGTTTTTGCATACAGACAAACAGGAATTTGTTTTACAGAAAAGCTGCTGTTCAAGTCTGTTATTCTGTGGCGTAGTAGGGGTTAGGAGAGAATTTATTTCCTTATAACGAGGTGAACATAATACAACAAAAAATTTGATTGGTTGTTTATAAATTCGCGCTTTTAACACTGAAGGGTGAGAAGTTCACTAAAACCTGCAACTTCCACTACCACAGCCATTTTTAATGTAGGGAGGGGGATGAATAAATATGAAGATGAGAATAAAAAATAATAATGATGTTGTCAGCTAACGGTGTGCCGACCAATCCCACCTGTTTTAAGAATGGCTCACCTTTTCCAGTAGCTAAGCTAATGTCTCCAAAACCCATAAGGTTATTAGGAATCTCTGACAAGTGGGGTGACATCAACTTGATTTAATAGTAATATTCATAGGAAGCATGTGGGGGATTTATTTTAGCGCATAAAGCTGATCGTGAAATGATCTTATTTAAAAATCCACTGAAACGAGTACGAAAAGGTTGTTTCGTCCTTGTTTAGGGCTCTTCAGGAGTACGCGCTCATGAACTCACCAGGGATCAGAACTAGGATTTTTAGATTGTAAGGCGAGGTTGTATACGATTATGCGACTGGGATGGAATCCGATAGCCAAGCAATTTTAACTTTTGCCATTTCACTATATATAACGCGACCCCCCGTAAGTGTTATCGGTGAGTATTTGTCATTATGTACTCATCAATGGTTCTCTAACTAAATTTAGTTCTTGATCAATCTTGAAGTCAATCAGATCCTTAAAAACCAACATTTTCAAAGTATACTATAACAACTTATTTTTTCCCACAAAATCATTTCTCTGGTTGCTGAATAACTTGACTTGAAAGATAGAATGATCCTACTTGTCAATCATTATTGTAGTCAGCGTGAATATTGACAACTTCTGTAAAGACATTTGTAAAAAATTATATTTGTAAAATCTCAGCGAGATTGAAATGAGTAATTCCAACGTTTCGTTCGGAAATCTGGTCCGAACTTCTTCAGGGAAATTAATCGAAATTAACATAACAGGTTTATATATAAAAGGAACATCTTTTGTTCTTAAAAACTTTGTCCAATCATGATTCATAAAACAAATATTAACAAGTATAATAAACAAAATTGTACGAGTTGTGATCAAAATTCGACCTCAGACTTACAAATATTGATCTACCTTTGTTAAACACTTTAAACACAGTGTGTATGTGTGTGTGCGAATGAACAAAGAAACTATGTAATTGGCACAATCATCGTGTTTCCACTCTCCGTTGTCTGCAACAGAATGCGTGTCCGAAATTCGTAGCTGTCCAGTCACCTGACAACTTCAGTAGGTCGAATAAAGCAGCTCAATTTTCAGAAAGAAGACCAAATAATAAGTTTGACAGGGTGCTTCAACTAAACTCTAATCTTAAGCACCATAATTTTGAAAATACATCTAATCATAAAATTCTAGATACTAACAGTTTGAACCGACATGAAGGTGTGATGTTAGATGACGCATAGGAAATCCTGATTAATAAATAAGAATGGATATGTATCACTAACTAATAATACTTGGTCAAAGTTTCCCGACTGTCTATATCTACTTATGGAGATGTTAAAACATTGTTTTACAACTGTTTATTCACACACACACATACACACTGTGTTTAAAGTGTTTAACAAAGGTAGATCAATATTTGTAAGTCTGAGGTCGAATTTTGATCACAACTCGTACAATTTTGTTTATTATACTTGTTAATATTTGTTTTATGAATCATGATTGGACAAAGGTTTTAAGAACAAAAGATGTTCCTTTTATATATAAACCTGTTATGTTAATTTCGATTAATTTCCCTGAAGAAGTTCGGACCAGATTTCCGAACGAAACGTTGGAATTACTCATTTCAATCTCGCTGAGATTTTACAAATGTCTACTTTTCACTCCGCGCCAAAATATTATAGAACTATTCTGTCAAATCTTGATTACAGTTCATTTGATTTAACTTCTGTAAAGCTTTAGATTTTAATAGATTAGTCATGACTCGAAAAATTGAAAATAATGAAGAATATTGAAGAAATTCACGGTGAAGTCAATACAACAACCGAAATTCCAACACTTGAAGATAAATCTCCTGCTCATAAATAACTACTGAGTGGATGAGATTCCTAGAGTTACAGTGGAAAATAATGATCTCTCAAGTTCATCTGTTCAGAGGTGAAAACAAATATTCATCACCGACAGCTGTATTACATAGCTAAATGAAAGAAGTTGAAATTTGAAGTTTTTGGATCTCATCCCACTGTCTAAATGACAAACGTGCTCCTCTTGTAGATTAGAGATCCAGAGATTGTGTTTTAACAGTTTCCTCACAGAAATGTGTTTATTTTTTCATCGGTTGTGTTTGGTGATATTGACGAAATGTAGCACCAAGACAACCAAATCCATCGAAATCGAACTTATATAAACTAATTGAGGTGCTCGACGGGAATCATACAATCAATATTTTAATTCTTAATCTCACCTTCGCATCAGATTTGAATCGTTCTCGTGAGACACTAATTCTATGGCTGCCATTTCTACTCATCCTTCAGATATTCCGTAGAGATGATAGCTGGTGGCAAAACGGAAAGTGAATATTGAAATCGAGTAGAGTTTGGACACTGTAATGTACAGCTGTATTGCATAATCTTGCTGTTTGCTATCAACTGATTTGCTATTAATGATATTGGTGGTAGTAGTGTGGTGAGAGCTGTCCGCAAGATTAAATTGTAGACATCAATTTACGTCAATGTTGACATCCCGAATCGGGGTCATGAGAAAAAAAACAGTAGCAAAGCCTAACCTTGAAGAACTCATCAACCCATCACAGCAGACTTAACGTGTGCGAATGCGATTCGCAGATATATGGCTTAACCTTCTAAGAAACGGTCATAAGCAGTACAGAATAATCTTCAGCGGGAAAACAACCATTTAGAAGAGTGAATTCATTGAAATGCATTCGGCTGTGAAATTCACCTGGAAAGAGAAATCGCAGAATAGAATTGCCTTCCTGGATGTCCTCCTTTGTAAAAAAAAAAATCAGATGGTAGCATAAAAAGAAATTTGCATAGGAAAAGCACATGGACAGGACAATATACGCATTTTCATAGATTCGTTTCTCACCAGTACAAATGAAATTAAGTAAAGACCCTCAGCCACAGAGTTAGAGCTATTTGCTCAGAGGAGGTAATTGAGGATTATATATGATACCCTCATTGAAAATAGCTATCCCGACAAATTTATGAAGAAACACATGACAAGGTAAGCTGAAAAGGACTATTCACTATCCGTAAACAAGAAACCTTTATGTATACGATTCAAATTCAAGGGTGATATACCTAGCGAAATAATTACGAAGAAATTAAGATAATCAGTTCAGAGAACTTTTAATGCTGGCGAACTACACGTTTTATTCTCTAGACGATTGATGGTGCTACCTCAACTGAAAGATGAAGTACCTAGATTAGCCACTTCAAATAGTTTCTACCAATTCAAGCGCGCTGGTGGTGGGGCGAGTTATATTGGACGTTGCTCTAGGAATTTGATTCTTCGTGCTCTCTCGAGAACATACCCCACTATGGTGAAGTAAAGGTGTAGTTAAAACCATTAACAGTTCGATACTAGACCACCTGGTGCAAACCGGTTACAAAGCCAGCCAGCATTGAAGAAT